GGTACAGGTGGGGGTAGGTGGGGCTCGGAGCCAGGTGCCTCGGCAGGTAGTAAGCAGCAGCTAGGAAAGAAAAGGTTGCAGATGTGAGGATCTCTGCCCTAGAGATCTCAGGCTTTTGGAGCACAACAGGGGAAAAAACCAATCCCAAACAGACGGTGTTCTTGCTGAAGGTACCTGCTTCCAGTTGGATTCCCCTCGGGATGGCGGCAGGGTCAAAAGCCAGCGGGATGTGTCCTCGGTACAGGTCGACCCCGCTCACGCCACGGAGCAGGTGCTCATATGGGGAGATGGGGTGGTGGTGGTCGGCTACGGGGGCATGCGGAGACTTGGAGTTGGTGAGCTCTCTTGGCGTGGGGGTGATCTTTCTGTCCTGGGACACCGGCTTCCCAGCAGTGATGCTCCCTACAGCAAGCAGAAGGAAATGAGTCAGTGACTGAGGCGCCGTGGCCAAGTTACATCCCTGAGGGATGCCTGAGGCCAAGCATGTTCCCCAGGGATGCTCGCAGCTCCCCTGAACTTGAGGGACCTTTCCCTCCTCCCTGCACTGCCATGTCCCGTTACACCACCAAGGCCAAGGCGGGCCAAGCCCCGGTTGCACCCAGGAGAAGCCTGTCCCAAACCATCCCTCCCTGCAGCACATCCAGGCTGGGTGGCCTGTGAGCTCATCCTGGCCCGCACAAGCCGCCGCTGCTGGAGCCTTGCTGCTGTGCTCCTTGGTGCGAGGAGGTCACCGCGGCTGGTCTGGGTCTCTCTTGGCTACCCCAGTGCAGACATGGAGGTGACCTCACTGCAACCGTGTGAGCACCCCAGGACAGAGGAGCTGAGCCTCAGCTGTCCTGGCAGCTGCCCCGCTGTCGTGCCTCAGCCGCGGCTGCCGGCAAGAGTGAGTGCCGGGAGCGGGGGAGAACGGGTTCGATGGGCACCCGCCAGGAACAGCTTGGGCAGGTGGGGTCAGCAGCCACCTCCCACACACCTTGCCCCACTCGGTTTGTTAGAAATCTTAGTGTCAAATAAAAGGTTCTCGATGTACCTTCGTGCTGCCGTGGTGTGGACTCCCTCGTGGAGACCGGAGAGCCTCTGTGCAAGTGGCTGCTGAACGCCGTGCTGTGCCCTGCCTGGTGGTCGTCGTAGGCGAGGGCACTTTGGTGGGGCTTGCCCGGCTCGGGTACAATCACAGGAGCTCCTCTGGCAATGGAGCCACCTGAGTTTGTCACTGGGCTTGGCCTGTTCTTCAGGCTCTCTTCGTACGCTCTCTCCAGATTCCTCGGGTCCTGGATGACATCCAGCGAGTGCACAGAGTGAAAAGTCCTGCCAGGACTGCCGATGATGGACCGCACGTCGTGCTTTTTGGTACTCGAGGAGGAAGAGCCACCGTCGTATTTCAGTGGGGTACCCTGGGGACAGAAGGCAGAGGGGACATAAAGGGGTGTAGAGCAGAGGGGGACGCAGCAACTGCATCCTACCAAGTTTCAATGGGACTCGTGCTCCTTCGCCCAGAGGGTCAATACACCAGTTTACTTGATCAAATGGCAACAGCCACGGGCGAAGCAGCGATAAGAGCTCCGCAGGGCGCGGGGCAGGGCGGAGTGCCCTTCCTGCATGTCTTGTTGTGCTCCAACAAGATGCCGATGAGTCAGTGCCGAAGGCTGGCTGTGCCCATCACGCCTCTCTCCTACGCACACTGGGAAGTGAGGTAGGACTACGAGGTGCTATGGGAACCCTCCAAATATTTGGAGCCCAACAGGAGACAGCAGGCCATGTTTCACCCTAACTACTGGCCTTGCTGGGTTCACACTTGCCCGTAAAGGGAGGAGACCCAGATTATGCGCACTCACAGTCACAGCTGCTGAGGGCACCAAGTTGACTCTGGCCTTGAACAAAAGCCAAATGTGTCCCCTTCTGCGTAGGCATATGGATGGAGCATCACCTTCTTAATTTGCCATGGAGTGCTGAGCTCCCTTCCCTGGGTTTTGTATTTTTCCACTGGGAAGGATCATAGAATGGTTTGGGTTGGAAGGGATCCATCGAAAGACAGGGAAGGGAAACCTGTAGCCAAGCAGAGCCTCAATTCTCACCAGTGATATATTTACAATCTTAAGTCCTGTCTGCTCCCTTTTACCGTGGGAATGGTCCCCAGGGTGTGTGCAAGGACCGCAGCCTGAGTAGGACTGGTCTCATCCACTGTTTGCCCCATGCTCACCTGCGTGATGGAGCCTTCCTTCAGAGGTCTCGTCAGAGAGATGTCTGGTGTCCGCCTCAGCTCCTCCCGTGGAATCTCATGGATTGATCTTCCTGCTTCTTTCACCGTGGCCACCAGGCCTTCGTGGGCTGGTTTCATTTTCAGAGGAGTAAGGCCCTCGTGAGACCTGACCTTGTAGGCGTCAGATAAGTCCCTCGGTGGAGTGTTTTCCCTCTTGAGCTGTTTGGCTTCTCTTCTGAGGTAGTCCTCATGGGCCTCCACGTAGGACCGAGGTATTCCTGCAAGCCCCAAGCAGATGACAGATGCACAGGGTGATTGCCCAGCCACGCACTGGGCTCCCATTCCCCGGGCAGATGCTCAGTTCGAAGGGGTCTCTGGTTAATACGTGTAACTCAGGGACTGGAACCCAACTGAGCACACAGAGCAGCTACATCACTAATGCAGCTGGACCACCTCACGCCTAACACCACTTTCTGGACCCATTTTGCCCTAGTTTCAATCTGCCTTCATGTGAGTCATTGAGACTCTGACTTGGGTGAGAGCTTAGGTTGGCAGAAGCTGAGCAAGACCGAACGTCTCTCTAAGCACATAGCTGAGGCGGCAGAGATCTGCAGCTGGACCTTGACGTGACCATCCTTGTTTCCTCCTGCCCTAGCCTGGCAACAGGAATGAGGGGCCATGCATGTGAGATACTCTGACCTCTGGCCATGGCCATCTTCTGCTTTCAACCTTTACCTTGTGTAATTGAGCCGCGCATGTGATGCTGCTCCTTTAGGTTATGGGGACTGTGTCGGTCTGGGGGAATCGCTCGTCCCATGAGACCTAGAAGAAATCCAAGGAGGAAAATTAGGTTGTGACACAGGAGTTCATTTACAACAAATATGTGACAATGTTACCAGAGACTCCTGGGACAAAAAGGGAAAACATCAGCAATCTCTAAATTACTTGATTTCTCTTTTTTTTTTAATGCTGCCTTTTTTTTTTTTTTTTTTTTAGTCCTGAACGTGGTCTACCAGGACAGAAATGAAAGGCAAATGAGCCAGTCTGTGTCCCTTATTTTCCCATGCTGTCCTGCTGGGATGTGCTGCAGGGTACCAGCTAACCACCGCCAAAACACAGGCACAGGAAGGTGCATCACGTAGACAAGAGGCAAGATGGGGTCTCTGTGAGCCCCTACTAACACAGCATGGGTGAAAGGTTTCAGCCAGACCCACCTTCAATGCTGGCAGACAAGGTATCACGGGCCGATAAACTGCGGCTGATCCTCCCCTCCATCATATCGTAGGTCCTCTTGGTTCCTGTGGTCTCATGTGAAGCTCCTGAGCTTCTGCTGTCTTCTTTGGGACACTGAGAAGCAGCAACTCCACCTAGGGAAGGGAACATCGAGAAGCACCCTCAGGAGCACAGAAAGCCAAGCACTGGCCAAAGGAGGGTGTTTACTGCTGCCTGCGTGCGTTGCTGAAAGGTCAGGTCCCATCCCCAGCATCAGCCACCACTCAGCAACGCCAGAAACGTTGCACGAGGTCGGCTTCCAAGAAGTTCAACTGGTATTTTCTCCCCTCCCTGCCTGCCTCAGACTCCAGATCTGTGCCTCCTGCTCGGGTAGGAGCATCCGCCCTGTCCTGCCCCTGTCCTGCCCTGCTCCCTCCCTTCCTCCCTTCCCAGTGGGGGCCACGCTGTAGGCAGTGGGACAGCCTGGAGCCAGCGTGGCGCTGGTGCGAGCAGCTGCGGTTCCACTGAACTTGGCCCTGTGGGTCTGGGGATTTTTATTTTTTTTCCCCTTGTTTGTTTTGCTTTTTGCTAGACACCTACTGTTTGGGATCTCGGCCAGCCTTAACATTTGCTGAGACACTCCCTGGGTGAGAAGATCAGGGAGAAGTGGGGAGAGGCGAAGCAGAGAATGATTCCTTAGAAACAGCGGTGAGCGTGCACAAGAGCTGGGAGAGACAGCGGAAAGTCCCCTGCGTGGGACTGGTGGAGCAGGCACTGGCGTGATGGGAGACCACCGACTACGTCCTCGTCTGACCTGGAGCAGATTCTTCTGCAAACGAACACTGGACGACTATCCTGAGCTACAGCTCCTGCCCCTCTGCAAGCACAATTCTGCCCGTGCCAGGAAGCATCACGCCCACCCTGGGCGACGGGCATCCATCGTGTGCGGCGAGCTGTGAATTTAGCAGACAGCTTCTGATCCAGCCGAATGCCTCGTGTTTATGTAACGAGCTCTGAGCGGGGATGTTGGCTTGGAGAGATAAATGCCTCTGCCTGTCATCCCTGGCCTGGCTGTCCCTGCCAAGGATTGCCAGTGCCCTGATTCTCCTCTTTGTGGGCAGACAAAGTGGTTATACAATTTAGAGAAAACAGAGGAGAAGTTAAACACATTCATACCATCGTGGACAATCGGGAACAAAAGTTCTCCTCGGCAAAACCGGTAATTAATAAAATGGGATTATTACAACTTCACGCACGCTACTGGTTTCCGCAATCAGCACCCACTTAATCCAGAAAGCGTTCAGGGCTGCGTGCGGAGAAACAAGAGGGGTATCCGTCCCCGAGCCTTCACTTCAGATTCATTCGACAGGAGAAATCCGGGGGTGACATTCAGAATCAGCCAAGCACCTCGTGGCAGACGCAGGGCGATGCGCCTGCACCCTGTCATCACGGCACATCTGTTGCCAACAGCCCTGCTGCAGGAGGGGACGCGGTGCCCGGTACCCTTTGTACCACTGGGAAGCAGGGGGAGGGCACGAGGGAGAAGAGAGACTAAACAGAAAGAAAATCACTCCAAATCCACGTCCCTTGCCTTGCAGAAGCCATCAGCAATCATATGCAGAATGAGAATAACCAATCTAGCACAATTCAGCTCGCACATGCTACAGGATCTCGTCTCATTACAGCTCTTTTATTTTAAGCACCCTCATGACACTAAAGAATTTGCAATTTTTTTTCTGCTTGCCAAAACTCATAATCACCAACAATTTCAGTTTTCTTATTTAATTTTTCCTTTTAACTCTTCCGCTCCGGGCTGTGAAGCCTCTCTGGGCTGTACGGGGGGAAGGAGAGAGGCAGCAGGGCTGGCGATGCTGCAGAAGCAGGGCGAGATTACTCAGGATGTGATAAACGCTATCAAGCATGTAAAAGGCTGCTGTGGAGAGGAAGGAATTAATTCCTCAGCCGTGTTTATGGGAGGTAGGACGAGAGGAGACAGGCTCAGGCCGCAGCCGGGGAGATGGGCTGACACTGGTGAGTGTGTGCAATGAGGAAGAGTCTGGTCTGGAGGTCTCCTTTGCCGCCTGGAGCAGGATCCCAGCTCTGGCGATGGGCAGCATCGCTGCCGGGAGCTTTTCTCGTCTCTGCCCCAGCAGCATCGTTTTTGAGATCAACCTCATTCGACTCCAAGCCCAGGAAAAGGAGATTAAAATAGCTTCTTGCACAAACAAGTCATGAAATGCTTCCTGCGTCCTCCCTGGTCCGAGCCCTGCCAACTGTCCCAAAGGGCACCCAGACACAAGGCTCCCGCGGTGACACTTCTTATCTGGGATAGAGTTGACAGCGAATAAGGGCAGGCTTGGGACAAGCTGGTTTCCACATGGCAGGCGAGAGGCACGGTGGCAGAGCCCTGTCCTGAAAGGTCCCTGTGGTCCCAGGGCACACACAGAGGCAACCGCTGAAGCTTGCGAATTGTCCCCCGGGGCCTGACTTGAACCCTCTGCCTCTGGCCCCGGATCAAAGAACCGGCTTGTGATGAAACCAGCTGCCTGCACTTGTGGGCAAGAGCACAGGGACTTCTGCTGGCCACCTCCTGCCTGCAGGACTGACCCCAGGGCCTGGGCTGCCAGGCAGGCTAAAAAGGATGCTCTGCCCTGGGGAGGGGTCAGAGATGCCTGCTGAGGCGGGTGAGTGAGGCTGAGGTTAGGATCTGCTCTGTGGTCATCTCCAAATTCCACCACGAAGGGAGGTGACACATTAGGACAGCTGTCCCCGTGCACGCCGGAGCACGTGCCAGTATTTTACCCCAAGAGCACACGGCGTTGTGGTGTCTGTAACTCAGCTCTTCCTGACCTCAGCTGCGGGCAAGGAGGAGCCCAGGTCCATGCCGGGGATGCTCAAACCAGCATGTGGTGCACGGCGAGCACAGAGTCGTTTGCAGCTTCACTGGAGAGGAACATCTGCTGATCTCTAACAGGACTCACAGAGCAGCTTTGATGGCCAGCGCTGCGACGGGACGAGCAGGCGCAGGGGAGACAGAAGCAGCTGGTGGCTGCTGCTAACGCAGTGAGGCACCGTCAGCATTCACCGAGGAAGCACGTTCCTGTGCAGCTGGGGTGTGAGCTCCAACGTGCTTTTTGGGTCTCTCCAGAGCCCCCTCTCAGCCCAGACAGGGCTCCAGACAGGTCCCCCGGGGGTCCTTCAGCATCTCCACGTGACAGCAGCCAGCAACACAGCAACACAACCCCAAGGCAGGCTCCTTCTGGGACACGGGAATGACTTCACCCCCTTCAATAGCTACAGGTGCTGTAGCAAAGCTCACAAGATATTGTGGAACAGCACTGCTGGGCCCAGAATTCTTGCAGGGCAGCCCCATGCTGTGAAAGCTGCACGGCGCCCAAGATGTTGTTGGTAGGAATCTGATATCTGAACAAAACTTTAAGCCAAACTACCCGACTTGCCTGTATCTTGCAGGATCTTGAGTCACATCTTGGCCCAAGAGCCTGGGGATGCTCTCAGAGCTTTCAGACAGTCCCCTCCTGCGCAGGGGTGCTAGGGATGAAGGCAATACCTATCCCACCCGGTCTTCTCTTCCCTGCTCCCCAAAACCAACCAAAACCAGAGACCATGTCCTATGGCCTCATTGCACCCCTGCCCGCCAGTGAAGCCACCTCGAAGGCAAGATA